GTAATGTAATCATATATGTAATAGTAATGCAAAAAGCTAATAAAATATAGGTTACGATTTGGCATTATAAAAAAAAATAAAATAAAATAAAAAAAATAAAAGCACAAATATGTGTCTTATAACTAATAGATGATCTGATTTGGTCCAATAACATTAAACAAATTACATTTTAATAATTCTTAACCCAGTTTTTTTTATTATATATCCGACTAATAAAATGTAACAAAATGTTAAAACGATTATAAAAGATTTAGAAAAAATAATTCTTGAAGTTGGTTTATCAAAAATTTTAATCTTAATTGCTGACAACATCTCTATAATAAAAAAAGCATAGTATTTACTTGAAATGAAATTTTCTAAAATGTTTTTTATTGGTTATGTTATACATAGTTTAAATATTTTAATTAGTGATATTATAAAATTAATATGGTGCATTAATACTTTAAAAAATGCTAAAAAGATTATTTTATATGTTTAATCATATCAAATTCCTATTACTATTTTATAATAACATCAATTAACAATCTATAAGTACTAAATATCTTTAAAACTTCTAGTTAAAACAAGATAAAGGTTTTCAGTAATATATCTAAATTCGATCTTACAAAATAAACTAGCACTTAAGTTGATCATTATAAAAATAACATATAATAATTCTGAAAAATTATCTAAATTAATTAATAAAGTTATAAATAATGAAAGTTTTTAAAAAGATATCAAGATTTTTCTTTTAATTTTAAATAAATTTGTTTTTAAAATTTTATTATTTGAATCAGATATCTTACAATTAGTATTATTTTATAATTGATATAATGAATTCTTAGAATCAGGTAGTAAATGAATTTTTATTTGTACTAAATTTGCCTATTATATTACAGATATTAAATTTGTAATTTTAAATATTTATTTTAGAAATAAATAATCAAATTAAAAATATATTAAAAAGTTGATGAATAAAAATATATTATCCAGTTATAGCACTTATATATCTTTTAAATCTAAAATATTATAGAAAGAAACTTATTACAAATAGTATAACATTAATATCACAATTTATTCAAAAACATTATCCAAATAATATAAATATTATCTGATAACAATTAATTAAATACAAAACTAAAACGAACATATTCAATTTTCAATTAGTATGAAATACAATCAAAAATATTAATCTTGTTTCTTGGTGTAAAGGAAACTTTGAAATTTCAGCATCTGAGTTATGTAAAGTTGCTATTAAGATTCTTTCAATTTCTTCATCATCTGCAGTTCCTAAACATCGTTGGTTAAATTTTCGTATATTTAAGAAAAAAAAAGAACTCAATTAACTAATAACTGGTTACTGAAATTGATGTACATAAATAGTAATTATAAACTTACTTATTAACAGCATGAATTTTCTGATATTACATAAATAAATAGTAGACCAACTCAACATCAAAAATATATTAAATTACTAGATTCAACAGATAATGACTTGAATAATTCATATGAAAAAATATTTGTTAAGAATACAAATAATGAATTGCTTGAAAATTACTCAAATATTAAGGAAACTGATAGCGAAACAGATAATGAAATAGATAGTGAAAATAAATGATCAGTTTTTATTTGCAAATGTATACTGTAGTACTATGTGCTTTATTGCATAATAAAAATTGTTTTTTGTATTTATTTAATGCTAATTTATATACTATAATGGCGGTGCAGTTATTTAATTGATATTATCTGTAATAAAATTTTTTAAATATTTGCTATGTAGAAGTTTTATAAGTAAATACATTATCTTGAAAGAGTTTTTATATAAATCAATTATATATTTATCTTCACTAAATTTACCGAGAATCATTCTAACAAAGATAACCAATTATAATCTTAATCATATAAATATCAATCACGTGCATCATGCGCATTTTCGCATAATGCGCATAGCATGGCCCACAATGTGCATTTTGCTGCTATTTTTTGCAAATATAGCAGTAGAATTTTTCAATTATGATTGGCTCATTTTGGGGCAAAATTATCCAACATCGATATGCGATTCTTTTAGTGTTAGTTATTTCATTAAACCTAGATTCAACATGAATTCGGATTCTTTTCTTGATTATTATGAAATTCTCGAAATTGCATACACTGCCCGATCGAGTAAGAAACGTTTTCGTAATTCGTAAAAAAATTATTCGCGTTCTATAACGGAATCTCAAAATTTATTTTGAAAAGAAAATTCGTGATGCGTACAAAAAGAAAGCCCTAGAAACACATCCAGACAGTTTCGTTCCAGGCCCCCATTGATTCAGCAATAAGCCTTGCATTATCACAAGAGAAGATAAAGGTTCTCTTTCAGAATATTGCCGATGCTATTAAGTTCTTAGTGATGAAATACGAAGGGCACAATATGGTACTTGTTTAATAACTGTGGCTTCTTCTGAATTCATTAGCAATTGATAGCTTTGTAGATCGAGTAAGGGCTTCTAGAAAAAAGAAAGGTGAACCTACATCGACTTGGCAGGTGCTGGGATGTTGGGTTTTATATGTGGTAATGTTCCTGGATTGGTGTTGGATAACTATGCAGGAAATAAACTGGGGGCGATTAGAGATGCCAAAGATATATTTTAGTTTATAAGTTGGACCTAATTTTTAAATTTTTCTTATTATGGGTTTATTCTATAGGTGTATCAGTATATGGTGCTCATCTAGTAATCACAAGGTCGCCATATTAGCCGCACTTGCAGCAAAATTGGTTACAAACGGCAGAATTTAATTTTAAGTTGGCCTCATATTAATATATATGAAGTTATTTATACACATATATGATAATACCATCTTCTTTATTCATTATCAAATTATTTTCAATCATGATAATTTAATAACATAGATGACATATAATATATATTGATCAATTGAACAGTTATTGTTTGTATATTTGATTAAATGTTCTATTCTTTATAAATGAGTCCAATTATTGTCATAGATGTTTTGATTCGAAAACATAAGACTTGTTAAAATCAAACTCTGATTCTAAGTCATAACCTAACCCTAAAAAAATGTACCTCAGAATTGTTTAAAAGTTGTATATTAAATAGGTCCAAAGTCAGCATCATCCACTACAACTATTGAGCAATTTGTAGATATAGATGGATATTAATAATTTTAACTATCGCATATAGTTATTTGCGTATACGTTAAATCTCTTCGATACAATTATTTATCAATCAAGACTGATTTAACTAAATTAATCACGTTGCCAACTACAAAATAATAAATTTACATTATTTAATAGCTCAAGTATCCCAAAAGCCACTCGATAAACAATGTTTTGCCAATATTAATGACAAAGAGTTAAAAACATTAAATTAAAAAGTGTATACAGTCAGATTCCCTAATACACTCCATAAATGCACGCACTATGTAAATTCCCCAAGAGCTCTATATATTTTGTTCTTTATAAATGCCGAACTCAATCTACCTTTTGACATTTGTTCAGTTCGAAATTCGAATAGAACCCGAACTAAGCACAAACGATTAATATAGTTAAATTATAGGAATTTTAGACGTTCAATTCATTATGACTTCACGATATTGTAATAGACATTAGGTCATTGTACAATGCAACCTAATAGACCCGACCATCGATTACTATCGCAAAGTCATAGAGACGTAACCTGATAGACCTATTATATAAAAAACGTTAGCAAAGAGAATGATTAGTAGACCGGGCAAAATTCTTTTTTGCATTCCAGTTTCCGGTTTCGAATCAGGGAAGAGAAGCTAAAAAAGAGAATGTTGATTCCGGTATATTAGAAAGAACAAGAAAAAAAGTAGGTACTTATTTCAAAAGTTCGATTTCTAAGAAAGACCAAGATCCAAAAAAGAGAATGTTTATTCCGGTAAGCTAAAAAATAAAAATAATAATAAACCAAAAAAAATAAAGTAAAATAAATAAATAAAATAAAACCAACTACCAGTCACGTTCTAGTCATCGATTAAAGAAAAAAATAAAAGAAATAAGAAATCACATGCATAACTCTACCAAGTCCTATCATTCACTAATTACCAATTATACGTATTATACGAGAGATATTTAGCCGGAATTGAACGCAAGCCCTAGCAGTCCTGGGATCTACTAGTGTGCGACCGCCCAAAACCTATGAATAATGGTACTTAGCCGGAGATGAACGCAAAGCTGCTCGTAGGCCAATCTAACAGTGCCACCGTTAAAACCGCCGAGCTATGCAGGATTAACATGTTTTTTGTAAATATAATACCACTTAAATAAATGTTTGTGTTACCAAATTATTTAATTAAATTTTATCATGAAATCTAAAACATCCTATTGGTTAACCACACTTTTTTTTCATTATACGTATAACTTAGTTGCAGATAGTGTAATATATATTTAGTGTAAACAGAACTGGTTAAAAAAAAACAAAAATAATAAAAAATCATTTTGCATTGCATTATAAAAAGGTTTCAAATAACATTAATACATACGTATTATGTTTCTATATTTTATAGTTAAAAGAGTTAAAAGAATTCTAAATAATAAGAACAATAATGATTATATTATTTCAGATTAAAAAAGAATGAAAAAACCCTAAAAAATTAAACTATTTAAACCTATTGAATCAGTTTTTAAAAATTGCATTAAGCTTATATATCATGCTTTTTAAAAAATTTTATTTGCTACAGTATTTTATAAGTTATTAATAATAATTTTTTTTATAAATTTGTTTAAATTCTTAGAATTTAATTTTTTTTTTTTAAATATTAAGGTGAATACTTGTGACCCAGGATTTTATTGATAGTACATTCAGCTAATGGTTGCATTAC